AAAACTCATGTGGAAAATGTAAAATGAGAGAGTTAGTAAGTCCAAAGTAGTCCCAACTTTTTGGGTAAAATTTGGCAGCACTACTAAAAAAACACACACTATGTACTGATCCAAATTTGTCCCCTAAGTTAAGTTTTGAGACAATAAATTGTCTCCATTAACTAATAGAGACTATGCAGCCACTATTTTTAAATCAGTATCCTAGTTTGGGGTTGCTATTGTTTTTTGGGTACCATTTATTGAGTCAGTCCTTTCCTATTTTCCATTAAATAAATACCTTTTAAGATACAAGCCCTTTGAGTTAAGCCAAGCCATGTTCAATGGCTTCAAGCTTGGGATCTGATATTTGGAATGGTGTCTATTATATTAGGCACTAATCATGACATATCAGTTTGCAATTGTGTACTCTTCAAATAAGACAGATCTGAGTTTTAGTATCTTCTCCCTTAGAAACGCAAAAATATATCAGTTCATGTTGGTTCAATATCAGTCCCCATTGTATGAGTACCCATTTAATAACACCCTATCATTTATGTAATACACTTAAAGCCATCAATTTCGATTTTTATTTGAAATGGTGTCTACCTTATCAGAGACGCATCATGATATATCAGTATGCAATTGTGTACTGATGAACCAATACAGATCAATATGCATCATCTCATATCAGTATGCCATCAGTCCCATTACTTTGAAAACTTGAAATTAATATGCACTTTGAATATTGATTTTTATTTAATAATCTGTAATTGTGAAATACAATTTGTGGGGCTGGTTAACTTATTGTACTATATTTAATTCCTCAAGGTTTGATCAACTGGAAAACTCTGGCACGTTCTATTGTGGAGGCTGGAGGAGCTGGTTCTCATCTGCTCTGTTCCAACCATTTTATTTTGTAGATTGATGGTCTTCTCATCTAGCCTACTCAAGAGAATAGTCCAATGAACAGTTTCAAAAGTCGACAACAAAAACATATCCAAGTCACTCTATATTTGATGCTTGATCCTCATCTAGTCTTGTCTTTCCCTACAAAAGAAAAAGCATATGTTTTCTTTCATTGTGCAAGACAGGGGATAGATATATAGAGAGAAAGATGGGATAACCCAAAGAAAAAGAAGAGATTTTGGAAGAAAATAGCCAAAAAGATTCAATGTCATGACCCCAATTCCATCCATCATCATCTAACATCACCCCCCCTCCTCAGACAAAGAAAAAAACATTGAAGAATTTATAGAAAGAACAATCAAACCATCTGGAATGTAGGTAAAGTATAGTATTTTTGCATGCAAAGAATGTCACCCACTTTTTAAAACACCTTGTGTAGAACTAGAAAGAAATTGAAACATAGATCTTTCATAAAGACCGACCAACAAGAAGAAAAAAATATCTTGTAGAGGAGCTGGTTCATGCATGTTCATATCAAACTAAAGGTTCTTGGGTTTTATAGAGACATTCTCCCGCCTATTTGAAATTTCGTATTTTGAAATCAGCTAGAAATAGTACTTATGCAGCCAATAAGGTTTTTTAAAGTTCTAATATGTTGTTTCACGGTTAAACATTAGTTTCTGTAGGAAAAGAGTTTATAAATGGAAGAGACTAGAAAAAGAAGTCAGTATCCAATTGAAGGCAAAACGCCAAGGCAGCTGAGTGAAGAGGAAGGAAGCCAGTTTGCAAAACAAAAAAAGGGAAGCCAGCCAAAGCTTGGCTGATTTGTGAGTGGAGCCGAGCTTGTTTGACAAATTGGGACTGATAAAAGGCCCAAATATGAAGGGAAAAAAATGAAAATCACTTTATTTCTATTACACACCAAAATCTATCCCAAATATCATTAATAGGCATAATGGGAGAATTAGTTTCCAAAAATAAATCAAAAACTACTTTTATGTATTTGTATCTAGATAATCAGTGGGTAATGGCTGTTTTTCTAGTAGTGCAGGTCAAAAGGACACTTGGTAGACAATGTTTGGACTTATAAAAAGCAAAATCATGTGCCTTGATTAAAAATCTGGTTCTGAAAATATTTGACTTATATGACTATTCATCTAGACAAAGTATTTTGATGCAGATGCTAATTTTCTTGTTGATGTCCATTGTAAATGAATGCATATAAATTACATTGGTTTTGTAGCCACATAAGCTGTTCAATGTATATACTCAACTTCCCCAGTAGCAAATACCTAAGTCCTAATTTTTGAAGATGAGCTAAGAGAAATTACATGAAATTGTTCATTATATTTAGCAAGGAAAGCTAATTCTAAGAATTCCAAAACTAACATTTGCATTTAGCATTAGTTCATTTATACGCATTAAATAAAATCATGAACTTTGCTCATTTTTTTGAGCAGATGTACTTTCCTCTTTTGTAATAGTTGACTGCTGTAAGGTTTATTCTCTAACCATATGTAAAACTTCCTATAGTTACATCCTGCATATAATGTATTTCATACACAAATCAAATCATTGATGAATTCAGCCAAATCTTCTCTCTTCTTTACCTTTCTTCAAACTCCAATGAGATATTTTGACAGCCTGTGCCACGCCTAAACAGAGGTGGAGTTTTATGTTCCCTATGTTTAATGGGGCCTCAAGCTTAAAAGTAGTATTTAAATTGTGTTTTGCACCTGCAATTGTGTAAACATGATTAGCCCCACGTGGTTGTGGATCTCATCACAATGTTTAACATGTGTTTCAACCGCTGATTAGTATTAATAATCTTGCTTTGCCAAATGTAATGAATGATTAGCATTTCTAAACAACATTGATTTAGGTCGGTGAGGGTGGGAGTGATGGTGACGGAGATGCAGCAAGTAGTTGAAAGAAAATAAGTTAAATGTTATGGTGCGTTTGGATGAGGAAATTTAAAAATAAAATGGATTTTATAAATGATGGAAATTAATGTTCTAGAATGTGTTAAGTTTCTTGTTTGGGTAACAGATTTAAAATACGGAAATTAACATTTCTTTGTAAAGTTATATTTTTTTAAAACTCAATCTCTCTTGGAATTTTAGAAATGACAAATTTTACCCTCCGTTTGGATGAGGAAAAACAACTTGGAATTTAGATAAAAGTCAGGAATTTAAGAGGAGAAATTGACAATTCCCTTGTTTGGCAATTAAATTCAGAGAGACGGACCATCGGCCCACTATTAACAATGCCGATATTGTCCCCAACTTAACCAACTACAAAACCCAATAGGTGTGGGGTTTGATCACAAAAGGGCTCGGTGATATTAGTGGTGGAACCAGTCATTATATATTGTATTTTATTTAGTCAAGTTTTCGATATGGGACTTATATTCTTCAACATGCTCAATCACGTGGGGCCACCACATAATGGGCCACACATGGAGCCAAATCTACATCGAAGTCAATCATTTAAGTCCAACACATGAGCACCACGTATTAGGTAAGAGTAAACATTCAAGCCCAACATGTGAACACCACATGTTGGGTAAGGGGTAAGGGGTAAGGGGTAAGGGGTAAGGGGTAAGGGTAAAGGCCTAGTAATTCAGGCACAATCAATCAACCCACTCTGATACCAAGTTAAATTCAGAGAGACGGGCTAGCGGCCCACTACTAACAACACCGATATTATCCCCAACTTAACCACCTACAAAGCCCAGTAGGTGTGGGGTTTTATCACAAAAGGTCTCGGTAATATTAGTAGTGGAACTATTCATTATATATTGTATTTTATTTAGTCAAGTTTCTGATGTGGGACTTATATTTTTCAACAACTTAAATGCAAAATTTATTAAATGACGGGCGGAAAAAATCATGGAAATTGAGACATCAAATTCTCGAGTTTAATTTTCACCAAAATAGGCGTCATTTCACAATTTCTATAGTGCAGGAATTCATATTTTCCAATGTGCCAAAACTTACATAAAAAAAACAGCACCAAACTTTTCACCAACCTCAATAAATGGTCAAAAGAGAAGAAATCGTGGATCAAATTCTTATGATATTCTTCCTACAAAGAAAAGAGGTGATGTCAAAGATGTTATTGCTGATTCGATTACTAGAATGACTTTATCATTTGAAAAGTTTATCCGTGCTGATACCAAGAACCTTGATCCAGCAGAGGTATATGTTGAAGTACAAGCAGTACCAAGTCTTAGTGAAAATGAACAACTCAAAGCATGTGCTTGGCTGATAGAAAATGACAAACAATTTCAGATGTTGAAGGCACCCAATTGAGAAAAAGAGAGAGTATGTTGCTGATGTTTATTGCACGTGCAGAGTGATTTGGTTAGCTAATATACTCTGTTTGTTTAAGTTGAGTTATTTAGTTCATCAAACGATTTGTTATTTTATACTGTAAGGAATACCTTCTATGTCAGTTATCAGTTTTTTTTTTCTTTTGAAATATTTAATTTATGTCATTTACAATTTGCATGAGCTATCCAAAACATTGAAATTTTCAATTTCTGTCATTTACAAAATTCGACATACATAAATCCAAACACTGAAATATTCAATTGCCAGAAATTGAATGACGGAAATCTAAATTTTGTCATTTTAGAATTTTATGTAATTTGCAATTCCTTCATCCAAACGGATATATAGAATTTAAAGTTGGGATTTATGACCTCCAAATTTCATGTTTTTCTAAATTTCTATGTTTTTTTTTAAAAATCCAAACACGGGAATTGATTCATGTAAATTTAGAAATTCTGACTTTTGTCAAAATCCCAAGCTTATTTCTCTCATCCAAACACACTTTTATCATTTTGGAAATGTGTGCTAAGGAGCAATCAATAATTGTGTAAAAAATATAATGATGATGTAATAATGTAAAATATTTGTTTGCTTGCTTTATATATATTATTATTATTCCTTATGAAAAAACCGATGACGTTCACCTTATTTCTTAATTATTGTTTTTGATTTACAGACAATGATCGTTTTAATTTTTAACTTGTTTTGGATTTATGCACTGACCTTCGGGTGCCCCTATTAATATGAAGTGAAGCTAGATGAGGTGAAGATGCAATTAGTTAATAGACAGATATGGCAAATATAAGGTATATTCAAATCTTGGTCTTTGCCTTGTGTTCAAGCCTTCTCATTATCACAACCCAAAGCCATGGCCATTCTGGGTTGCCAAAAAGACATGCACCTCTTTTCATACTCGGGGATTCAGTCTTTGAGGCTGGAAATAATAACTACTTTAACACTACAGCCCGGGCAAATTATAAGCCATATGGTGAAACCTACTTTAAGTACCCAACTGGGAGATTTTCTGATGGTCGTCAAATTCCAGATTTTATTGGTAAGATATGTTTACAAATATGATATGAATGTTTTTATTTTTTAAATTTATAATTTTATATGAAATATGACTAGACATTATTTTATTGTTGCAGCTCAGTATGCGAAGTTGCCATTGATTCCACCATATCTACAGCTCGATTTGCATGATTTTTCATATGGTGTCAACTTTGCATCTGCAGGATCTGGGGCTTTGGATGGAACTCGCCGAGGCTCGGTATGTGACATATTTGTTTTTGCAGGAAATCTGGGTGCTTCTTAAGTTAAATTCATCGAAACGACAGGTTTTTATAAGTTTAAGAGTGAACTGTTTTGAGTAATTAGTATTTAGGTGATAAGCATTTCGAGTTTAGTACTTTTGGGGTTGCGACCATTGCTAATTGACACACATCAGTCTACCAAGCACATAATGTGATTCACTAATGTAGTACTAACCAACTTCTTGAAAACTATATGATCTCATGTCCGTATGGAAATGGTTACTTACTATTTTTCATATAACATAGATCAACTATTTCTCTTTAATATGGAAATAATGGCTTTGAACCTTGTTTCAGGTGATAAGCCTTAAAACTCAACTGTCAAATTTCAAGATCGTCAGGAAGTCGTTGAGGAAGAAACTAGGCGATCATGAAGCCAAATCTCTGCTATCAAGAGCTGTTTACTTTTTTAATACTGGAAGCAACGATTACCTTTTCGCATTCGACACAGACCCAACTGTGCTTGGATCCTACTCTCAACAGGAATATGTAGACCTGGTGATAGGCAACATGACTTCAGTGGTCAAAGTAATGAAATCTTAGCACTTAAAAAAAAAAAAAATAGAACAGAAAATCCTTTTATGCATATTACTAGCTAATAAACATTATTAATTTCGATGTCTTGTTTTAGGGAATCTATAAGAGAGGAGGAAGAAATTTTGCGTTGCTTGACCTCTGGCCTATGGCTTGTCTTCCATACGGAAGAGGAACACTTGAAAAGAAAGGTGCTTGCTTTGATACAATTACACCATATGTGACACTACACAACAAAGGACTTGCCAATGCCCTGCAAAAGCTGGAGAAGAAACTCGAGGGATTCAGATACTCATTCATCAGTTCTAATGAGTTTCTGACAAAAAGAATGAACAACCCTTCTAAATATGGTATTAATTCCTTCGTTATACATGGTTTTGATATCATTAATTATGTTAATTACTATTTATTTAAGCGACCATATGTTTTTGTTTTGTGATAAAAATGTTGGAAAATTGTAAGGTTTCGTGGAAGGAAAGGTGGCGTGCTGTGGAAGTGGTCCATATGGAGGAATTTTCAACTGTGGAGGAATGAAGATTTCCAAGAAGTATAATTTATGTAAGAATGTTAGTGAATATGTCTTCTTTGATTCTTCTCATCCAACCGAGAGGGTCTATGAACAGTTTGCCAAGAAAATATGGAGTGGAAATTCCATCACTGCGCCTTACAATCTGAAAGCACTATTTGAAAATTAGCCGAGTAAGATTATAGTAAGGGCAGATGATCCGACGGTCAATAAGCAAATAATTTGTACTTCTTGAAAGAGAGGCAACAACTCATATGTCAAGCTTTGTCTCAAAATAAGATGCAGCCTTTGTATTGAATATTATATTATATTTGTGTGGTGGTGGAAGGAGAGCCAACAAATAAACATTATTTTATATGGTAACGTTTTGTTAACTTTGTCTCAAAAGGTGCAGAGCCTTATGGATGGGCTGTGAGTGTCTTTGTGACATATCTAGCAGGGCACCATGCTTTTGGTTTTCACTGTTTTATTAGCTGGGAATAGCAAAACAATGTTATCACCGTTATAAGAAAGTTTTTTTTCCATGCATATTAAGTGCACCTCAACTCTACGCCACAACGCAGAATTTAACACAAATAATTATCTAAACTACACTCTAAATTAATCTGGGAGATCTAAACTGAAGTGCAAAATGGTGGGCTCACTGCACTCTCTGGCCACTGGCATTACCCCACGAGACCACATCTGCTATGTATCTTCAATTTTAAAAGAATGAAGGACATAAGCTAAATACAAACACATAGAATAGAATGCAATGAAAAGGAAAAGTTCATCTGAATTATTATAATCAATCCTAAAATAGCATTAACTAGTCCTTACACTTCCCACATCAAATCCAATCGAGATCTTTTGACAGAGGTGGAGGATTCTGTTTGATGGAGCAACAAGCTTAAAAGTATAGGATTTTAATTTCATAGTTTATTAGCCAAATTTTTATTTATTTTTGGTTCTCTCAACAACGTGGCTGTGGATCTCATCACAGTATTTAATTAGCCATGTGATGATAATGTAAAATATTTTGTTTGCTTTTTGTATATTATTATTCCTTACAGAAAACGACGATTTATGCACATTATGATCGTTTAATTTTTTTTAAAGGGGAGATATAGTTGTTTACTTGTTTTGGGCTGCACATTTCGATTTATGCACTGCCTTGAGATGCCCCCTATAAATATCAACTGAAGCGAGATGAGGTGAAGATGCATCTAATCTAATATACAGAAATGGCAAATGTCCAAGTCTTTGTTTTTTCCTTATGTACAAGCCTTCTCATTATCACAACCCAAAGCCATGGCCATTCTGGGTTGCCAAAAACACATGCACCCCTTTTCGTATTTGGGGATTCAGTCTTTGAGGTTGGAAATAATAACTACTTTAACACTAGTTGGCAGGCAAATTATTCGCCATATGGTGAAACCTTCTTTAAGTACCCAACTGGGAGATTTTCTGATGGTCGTCAAGTTCCAGATTTTATTGGTACGTACAAAATACGAAATATTACTAGACCATTTTATTGTTGCATTGCAGCTGAGTATGCGAAGTTGCCATTGATTCCACCATATCTACAGCCCGACAATCATGAATTTTCATATGGTGTCAACTTTGCATCTGCGGGAGGCTCGAAGCCAGAATTTCACATTATAGGGGGCATTCACAAACATTTTAAAAATAATTCGAATATGAGCCCTCAAGCGCTAACCGGATTAATAAGTTAATAATATCATTTCATATTGATTAATAATTTATTCATTTATTACAATCATAATTGTCCTGAATTTCATATTTTAACATGGTTGAATATTAATCTCATCATCTACACTATTAAGAGCATCCACAATGATGCTCTCTATTTCTTAGCTAAAATTTAGCTAAAAATATAAGAAAGCTATTTTAGGAGCTCTCTACAAAATTTCAACTCCAACCATACTCCCTAATTTGGAGAGTCATAAATGCTATAACTCTTTTTTGATTGGTCCATCTTTATTAAAAAATAAAATAAAAAATAGTTAGCATTAAATAAAGGTTTGAAATACTCGTTAAATAAAGCAGCATTAAATTATATGGGGAGCCACTAGGAGTCCTTTCTCTCTCCTCAGATTTAAGAGCTCCTAGAGGACTCTCTATTTTAGGAGGTGGATAGGGAGCATGGTTGGAGTTGCATTTTTACGATTCCTCTCTAAAATTTGTCTAAGGATGTGGTTTAGGGAGCCCATTATGGATGCTCTAAAGACTCAAAATTTAATAAATTTATACTTCAACAGAGAGAAGAAATACAAAAAATATTCATAAATCCCAATATTAAGATGCCCTACTTAGACATGTAAAATGGGGGGGAGGGGAATTCACAAAGCTTAAGTTAATCAAAAGAGGAAGAGAAGGAGAAAAAATTAGAGTTTTTACTCCAAGAAGCAAACATATAGCAACACATATGAGTAAAAATATGAGAAAATAAAAAATATGAGAGAGGGCCTGGGCCCACCCTAGTCCTTAGGTGGCTCCGCCACCTGGAGCTGGTGCTATGGTTGAAACTCACCAAGGCGCGGTATGTGACGTGTTTTTGCAAGAATCTGGGTGCATCTTAAGTTAAAGTTGTCGAAACTATGCATAATGCGATTCACTAATGTGTAGTACCGACTTCTTGAAACTATGATCTCATGTCCATATGAAAATGGTTACTTATTAGGTTTACATAAACTATTTCTCTCTATGATATGTAAATAATCACTTTGAACCAACCTTGTTTCAGGTGATAGGCCTGTTGACGTGAGTCTCCTAATTAATCAAGGAGAATTATTTCCTTGATTAATTAAGGGATTTACTTTCCCTTTCCATTTAGTTGACAAATCTGTGTATAATTAGGAGATACTTTCCTGATTCCTGATTGAATCTTATTCCTTGTAAAGCACTCTGTAAACCCATATATATACCTCCTTATGGAGAAGAATAAAATATCTGAACAGATTGAAAACCCGTATTCATATTTTAGCATGGTATCAGAGCAATCGATCCTAGGTTGTCTCTAAATCCTCGTATTGAATTTCTCGAAACCCGAATCCCTCATATCGAATTCCTTA